ACTGTTAACAATATCGCAGAGAGGTTGAAGCAGACAGAAGCAAGAGTGCCATCTGCTGACGAAAAGGGAAATATGCAAGCTTGGAAATAACTATTCAAAAAGACTGGAAATATCTGTTAGACACAGACCTACTCTAAATCCACTAGAGATTTGATTATTAGCTAAGGACTTCAGTTAAGAGCCCCTGAACATCATTGAAAGTATTGAACATATAAAGTAATTTAAAGAGGCGTGAATAACCTCCTGATGAATTTAAATTGTTTGGACTGACTATTGATGATACATTTAAAATTGTGACTTGGAAGTTTGGCTTTTTGAATTAATAAACTCTGGACAGTGGATTAAAAAAGAGATTGACTAAACACAGATGCAACGGAAGTGAGGAGAACCTAAACAGAATGAAGCTTTTTCAAAGCATTGAGAAAATATTTGATCGTATAGACCAAAAATTTAATACAAAGAATAACGGACAATGATCAGGACAAGGAAGAAAGAATGGAGCTACCAGAAGAAATAGAGGGGAAAGCGGAGAGAAATCAGCAAGAAGAAGATAACAAAGAGGAGATGTTGCCAAAATGAATAGTGATTAAGGAACTAAAAAAGGAGGGAAATATATAATGTAAAAGACCCAAAAAGGGAACGGGAGAAACAGGAAGAGAACTGGGGAAAAGAGATAGAAGGTGGATTGGATAGTTTTAGAATTAGACAGTGGGAAAGGGTGGAGTTGGGAGGAAAAGTTAGACTGCATAGTCAAATAGAGGGAATAAAAGACTTATGGGACAAATATGGGAGGAAAAATAAAAATAAAATAAGACTAAAGGTTCAGATGTGGGTAAGAGATGAAGGATAAGGGAAAATAGAGTAAAAGAATATTTTTATGAATATATTTCAATAATATCTTAATATCAGAACTATACAGGTTGTATTATTATTTTAGCAGTGTGATAGATATCAGGATAATATTTTAATGTAAATGGATATGAAGAACTGGAAAAATAGATTTTGAATGACTACGACTAAATATGTATAAAAATATGAACGTGGAAGGTTGGAACTTAACAATGGGTGTTTAGGGAAATATCTATAAATATATATTAATCTAAACGTGTATTAATAGTAGAATTATATGGATTGAAGAACTGGAAAGAATATGAATAGAAATACCCTAAATGTATAAATGATCATGATTGATACTAAAACTGTATAAGGAGATATTGAAAAATGGAAGAAGAATGAAGGATGGAACTTTGATTTAACTATGGAAATATGAACAAAATAGGTGGAAAACACATCTTTGAATATTATAGCGATATGAGAAGGGGGCAAAGTTAAAATAGAGTTAGAAAATAGTGGGGGGAAATAATAACTATATATTAATATGTTAAGATATACAAAAGAACAGAAAAATGGTTTACAACTGGAAGGTGATAATAAAAGGCATGTATAAATAATATGAAATAACGGAAATGAAATGTAATATTTAGGAATAATAAGTATGTTTATGTGTAGTGAAATGTATGCTACCCAAGTACCACACTATTCACGCATTGATAAATATAAAGAATATAAAAAATAAAAATGTGATTGAAAAAAAATTGTTGAATTAATAAATGAGTATCTCAGGGCAGAGGCAATGCCACAACAAGGAATGAGGTAAACCATATTTAAAAGCATATTAATTAGAAACCGAAAAGCATTTAATTCTTTGACACAAGGTACTTCAATGTCTGAAAATCCTGTTTAGAAAAAAGAAAAGGTAATGCATCAGTTTAGGTTACTTGCTCATTGCATGGTGACAAGGATGGCATAACAAATAAAATTCATGACATTCTGCTATAAAGGAAAGCTACAAAAAGTCAGGAGGAATTTTTTTAAATACTCCAAATGCTCAGTTGGTTGCTTCTCATGACAGAGGAATCATTTTCTTATATATAATTTTCCTAATTCAAAACCACTTTCATTTCATTATTCCACCAAGCATCTTTTTGTACTTTCCTTTAATGTGCTTTGGACTAAACAAATAAATTTGCTTGCTCTACTTTATTTAATACAAATATACTTAACATTAATATACTTCAATGGGCTTTTTATAAAACAATTATTTTCATTTTTTTCCAAGGAACTTCTATTTAATCTTTCCTTAATTTCATTTTCATTTTTTTTCTCTTGAAGGATTCTTCTGTCTTCTAATACTGTTATATATGGATTTTCTCTTTCTGCAATAATTCTATATATTATTCTACTTTTATTTCATGCCCATTTTCTTCCCAGATCCACTCTTCATGCTACCAAATGAGTCTGTTCTATATTCAGAACTTCTCATAACTCTTGCAGCATTTATTAAATCCTTTGATCTTTCATTGTAAACAGTTAAATCAGCCATGAGGTTAGATTAATTCCTTTGCATCAATAAGCTGAAATCATGATCAAAGCAAACAACTCATTCCTTGTAATGCTTATTTTATTCCTGTTATTTGGAATTAATCATATAGTCACTTTCTATACTATACATGTAGTTATCAGTTCTGCTCTATAAAAACAAGACAACCATTCAGTTCTATTTAATTTGTCTTCCATCTCTTAGTTTCAGAAAAAATATTCTACCTCTGTGTCTGTCTAAATTTTATTTCATTTTCATCTCATGTCATTAATTCATTAGGTTTACCATGTGTTCCTGTTGCAATCTAAATTGTGATCATTCATGTGATATTAGCAGATAACAAATATCTGCCAATAAATATTGATTTCCTATATCCATAAAGGCTTCTGCTAACTGAATCTAATGTTTAAAAAAGTCAGGTAGGTTATTAGTTTCAGTTATCCCATGCTACATGAAGCATTCCCTGCTAAGACTCCATTTTAACATATTTTGGCCATAATTTATAAGCGTTAACTAAAGCCCAGTTTTATCCCCAGCATGCTTCTGTTATTCTGTATAAATAAAGAATCATCAATCCAAAGACAACTTTGTAAGCTAAGATACCATGATTTCCTCCTCTGACTTCTGTAAACAATTTCATTCTTTTGAGTTTAAAGGCTTACTGGAATTAATATCAGTACCTGGCTTTATAATATTGAACCTAACTCATTTTAAAAAATAATAAATGCAATATTCATATTTTGGTTCCATGCTAGGAGTTATATTGTTAGGAAAAGTGTACCAATTATATTAAAATGCAAAGTCCTCTTTTTACTTGTGTTTTGTAGGAGCAAAGAAAGTGTGTAAATTA